CACAGCACAATCGAAAGAAAGAAAGTCCGTCTCAGTGGCATGTTTCCGTCCTTCACCGCCCAGTGGGAGCTGCGGCGGCTGGTGAGCCTGCGGTCTGACTTGATGCACTTGGGCCTCAGGTACTGCTGTCATGCATTAGATTCTAAACGACGGCCTGCCGTTTTCTCGTTCGCACTTTCCGGACGTTTACAGCTTACAGTTTGGGCATGTCAGGCCCTTCAGGGTATCTCGGCACTTCGCAGTATCTACGAATATAGGAACCAGCAGCTCCTTTCGAGTGCTCCTTTGGCATTGTGATTATTGACACCTCGAGCGTTCAGGTTGACAAGATGAGACGCGAATGTATCAGCCGCCGCTCGCCGCACCCCCACCTATGTTGTGCAGTTTGTACAGAAATGCAACATAATGCAACATTATCCCTCGGAGCAGACAAGCTCGGTAAAGCCAAGACATGGCACGTATGTCCCAGGAGAAGTCTGAAGCAGCTCCAAGAGGATCTTGTTTAAGGTGCCGACGTTGAACGTCGAGCTTCCAGGGCTAACCGAAAATTGATGAGTGACTTGAATGCATTAAAGTTGGCGTGCGCTGGTTGGCCTTCGTGACATCTGGAACTGAACCGAAGCATTGCACACTGCAAGCAAAGGTATGGCATCAGGTATGGTGTCTCCAAGCCCAAAATATAGAACCGTTCGGCTTTTTGTCGCGTGCTCCCGAGCTGTCAGTAGAAAAGGGTTCTCGAATTCGGATGTATGCATGAACGTTCGTCATGTATCTGGGGTGCACCTAACTCAGCATTTTAAGGTTGCGCATGGTCAAATCGAGGCAATTGGTCGGCGACTTGGCTCTGCGAAACCGTACGGCAAGTGACCCACAAAACAAGCAGAGTTAAAGCTAAACTAGCAACTTTTGTGACCCAAACTAGCAACCACACACGTGCATACACCCACACAGTGCATGCATTCACCAACACATGCGGAACGAAAGGAACGAATATGCCGCCCAAGACACAACTCCAGAATCAGGAGCAGTGTCCTTCATAACTAATCGAACTACCGAACATGGAATACATGGACCGAACATACCTCCAAGGCAACAACTTCGGAATCAGGACTAGTGACTAGATATCTGCAGATGCATGTGCAGACAGATGCGTGCACATAAGTAGAGGCCGTCGCGGCCAAGCCACACGATGCATCGAGCCATCATAGGGTAAGTAACACCGAGGTGGAATCTCAACAACGCAGCCCTTCCACAAAGTTGAGTTCACGTATGCCGTAATGGGCTCTTATTCCTCTCGGGCCGGAGCTGCCACCTCGGACCGCCCTTAGTGAAAATGCCGTCGCCTTGCCGGCCTTGCCTTGCCTTGTCGTTCTCGCTTCCTTAAGCATGAGTCCTGTGGCCATGATTACGGCAGGCGACATGAACCAAGACTACATCACTGGCATTACAGTGTATTTATTGTATATGGCAGGTGCATCCTCGGAGCAACACAAGCGAGACTCGTCGAATGGCGAACTCTACGAATCTTTACAGTGTTCCTTGACTCACACCTTGCGAATGCTGCCAGTTCGCCGTTTCGACTCCTGTTGCATCGAAGGTCACCGTCTCCACCTGAATGGCGTCGACATCGGCCACTTGCGCAATTGTGCGCAGTTTCGCAGTATCGGGGTGGCAGTTGCGCTGGTCTTCTTCAGCTCAGGCCGAGCTCAGCCCAGGCCCGCAAAAAGTGTCGAGTGCAATCCGGATCCTGGCCAGCGTGCTTGCTCAAACCAGTTGGTCTCTGGCCCGTTCCGGGCTTGACACCGCTAGATCCTCAAACTACGGTCAAAGCTCCAGCTGCCTCGAGTTGAGCGCCATCGCCATGACACCTCCCGGCTCGCAGCTGCGTCAAAGCACTTATTTCAGCAGGCTCTGTAAGGTTTTGTTGCAGAGGTTTTCGAAGCTGATGAAGAACAGGGGCTGCGAGATGCTCAATTCCACTGCGACAGGGAACTATGAAAGAAAACAGTTAGATCTCTACTCCATAGGAGACGGGGTCTTACACTTGCAGAGGATTGCTGTGTTTGCTCTCTTATTTCTGGACTCTGCAGGATTCATAAAGACCTTCGTTAACAGAATGGTGGTAGGTTTCAAAACGGTAAAATGTTGAGGAGAGAACCTGCAAGCAGAGTGGAAGCAAAGAGCTGTAGGCATCTAGAGATGCCGGACACTATTCACTTCTGCCTACTGCTCGCCTAGAGGCTTAGACGACCAGGAACTCGAAGCCAAAGGCCCAACCCAAATTCTTGATGCAAGCAGTGCGAGCGGAACTTTCACGCTTTCTTCGACCTGCTCGCTGGTGGATCGCATGTCTTGCAAAGCGCTCATGCTGCTGATGCCAGCTGCAGTCGCTACTTTCGCTCTGTTGAAAAGGCATCTAGGGCCGGGGTTCGTGCACTTTTCTGATTTGCTGCGCTCTGGAACAGAATCTGAACAACAACATCACTCTTCTGCCCTCTTAACAGCCCTCAACTGTCAACCATGCATGTGCCCTTACTGTTGATACTCCAAACCACCGTGCTTCAAAGCCCTAGACCCTTTCAACTTGAGACCCGGAGGGGGGCGACGAAAGCTCTAGCTTCATGGGCTCAGTTTCATTCTTCATGTGTGGTGCAAGAGCGCATGTTGAAGCTGGGCAAGAAAACTCGCCGCGTCTGTGTGAGACTGACAGGATCACTCGTGTTTGCGGATCTTCTGAGCGAGGCAGGACGCGGTGCTCACGTGAGAGGTAGGATGTTCCTGGCTATTTGTTTTGAGGGGCAATCGCTTGCGAGTGTCTGTCAGCAATGCGAAGGTGGGAGTAGGAACTCGACATATGCAAGGTTGTGCACGCCCGTGTCAAACAGCATAGAGCTTCAAGTGTGTGTGTGTGTGTGTCTTCTCAGATGCTACAGGATCGGAACATTAAAAGCTCACTCGCCGAAGATATGGATCACGCCGTGTTCGGCCTGCGGTTCTGCATTTGCAAGTGGCAGGCTTTTCGGGACCTGGGCTGTAAGGCGTTAGGCGGAGGGTCGAATCTTGGGCATGCAACCCCTGGTTGCTTCTAGACCTGCTGTTACCGGTGAAACCAGCGGGGATGTAATAGAGGTTGTTGCTGCTAGTGCTGTCGGTGGTTAGCGTGCCTGCGCTAAACTGAAACAGCAGTTGGACCGGGGCGAAAGTCTTCGATCTGGTGCGAACGGTCACGCGTCGTAGAGGGCTAATCGGCCTGCCAGCTTTGCGCAGCTTGAAGATGTACCCAGCGTCGCACATTCACTTCCCGCCTCGAGTGGCTGTATTAGAGTATCCAGCATGGATGTACTGTGCATGAGCGGCGGTCTTGCAACTAGTACTAGCAGAGCTCCCTGCGTCTGCAGTAACGCAATGCAAAGCAACACGCTGCCGGCCTGCCCGAGCATCAGTCCTGGCACTTGCCGCGCTCGCTTGGGCTAGAAAGCGGTTCCCAACCGACACAGCAGCATCTTCTGCATCTAAGCGCGCTGGACCACGCAAGTCCGTAGCATTGAAGTTTGCAGATGGATGCCGTAGCTGCTAAGTCGCTTGCGGGGGCCAGCAGCCACGCAACCGAAGAGCATGGCAACGAGGGCAGCAGAAGACCCGCCATTAGCGCACCAACGAAGCTAGGGCTCCGGAAGTCTACAAGAAAGAACAAACAAGACAGCTGCAAGTTCAGAACAAACTTGTGAGAGCAATCGAAGCAAGCGAGGTGACGTGCTTGGCTCGCAGAGACACAGAGTTCAAGGTCATCGACTGCATTTGGGACCAGTAGAACTCGGCTATTGGAAACGCAACAGCTGTCATAACATCCATGCACAGTAAGACACGCTTGTTTCCGCCGGCCTGGACGAACGAGCCAGCGAGGAAGCAGGCAAGGAAGCAAATGAGGAAGAGACCTGAGTGCGGAGACACCCCAAAGTGAAGATGCAGCAGCTGTCTTAACATCCATGCACAGCAAGACATGATTGGTTCCACATTAGCCGGCCTGGACGAACGAGCCAGCGAGGAAGCAGGCAAGGGGGGGAAATGAGGGAAAGACCTGAGTGCAGAGATTTCGCGCCGGGCCATCACAAGTAAACGACTCATGCAACGTGCCTTCAAGCAAGGGAAGCAACTGCAAGCGCGAGGCCACCTGGGCAACCAACATGGGCGTGCGCGAAGCTATAGCACGTCGGCATACCCAACGAGCAAGCAGGAGTGGGACTTGCACGACTGACAGCAATGCCGGCCAGGATGCACACCAGCTGGTGATAACTGGCGCGAGCCCGGGCCAACCAACAGGAGGGGATCACTGGAGCAGGCAGGACTGCTTGAGCCTGACCGTGGAGAAGCAAATTCGCAGAGCTGCTGGCTTCGACACCATGCACGGATACTCGCTCTACTGTCTGAGCACCCAGCCAGTACCCGGATTCGCCAGCCGGCACACCCGCCGGAACCAAAAAGGGCCGCAACCGAGACGGCAAACGACCATCGCGAGCATGAGTGACGACCGTACACAGAGAAGCTAAGCGCATCATGAGCATCATTGGGGTCCCAATCGGCGCCGGCAGACAAGCATCATGAGCATCATGGGGGGGCTCGTTTCTCCATTTGAGAGTCGCCTAGGACCCCACCCGCTGGAGCCAAACAAAGCACCCTCTTGGGCCCCCCCCCACACCCCCTAAGCCTTCTGGTACAACAAGTTCTGACTTCTAAAACGAAGCTCCTTGGGGGAGAGCTTTCGTGACATGGCCTAGCTAGCTCTTGAGGAGGTCGCAAATTCAATTCTGTTGATTGCTATTGCCGTCAAGTTAATCAACTGACCTCAAGAGCAATTCAAAGCCGGAGCTCTTTCCAACAGTCGGACGACACTGCCTGCTTGGCAGCCCGCTGCAGTTCCTACTGTGCCCATGATGTAGGGCATGACGAGGTGTGGAGACTTGATATCGGACTCGTGCCTCCGCCGTGACTCTGCAGTGCGCCTACATCGGGCTTTCAGATGCCACTGTGCCACTCATGACTTCATCAGGTGTGGCGCGAGCAATTCCTGGGCACTCATGGTTCAGAAAGCACGTCTTCGTAAAAGTGCAGTGCGGAGAACTCCGCTGTCTGTGAGGACAACTGACCCTCCTTGACTGCTAGCTTGGTGCTGACGGCAAAAGGGAATCTAGCCTAGGAGTGGACTGTGCGCGTGGCTACAAAATGTGCAATCCTGAGATTTACTGCTGGGCCATTGTTTCAACCAAGTGGACATGCGTCTCTTCATCAACCCAAGATGACTGCCACTGCTTGGGCGGCGGAGAGTCTTCGACTTGAGCATGGCCTCCATGGGGGTGGCACAGTGATTCTGGATGACGGGCCCACTCCAACGCATTCTTGCCGTCCTGCACCATTGCACGTGTCGCACGATGGTTCATGAATGGTAAGCTCGAAGTTTCCGCAAGAATCTGTTAGGATCAGGGGATCTTAACAGAGGCAGGCTGTAGTGGAATGGGCGACCCCCTCCGTGGCCGAAGGAATCTCAGCGCTTTGTGCTGACAGCTCAGCGGTCCTCGACGATCGTCAAGTCCAGGCTTGGGGCTTGCAGCAGCATCCGGATGCCTGAAGCTGGAATTTTGGGGCAGGACTTGTCTGAAGCTGCAAAAATGTCAAGGTCGTTCTTCTTGGTAGCTGTGCAGTTGGCAGTGTTGATTGATTGGCATCTCGGCGACTGACGCCTCTGCTTCACTCCTGACTTGCCTTGGCTTTGTCGATGAGCTATGCTCTCTTCACAACGCTTTGTTGGCCTGCGAAGTGTTACGCTCAAGCCATCCTCCTCGTTTTGTCAGTAGGAAAGCATCTCTACTCTTGGAGCTTTACCTGCTGAGGCAAGCCCGTGTCTGCGGATAAATACTTTGGAGACTACTTCCTTGTCTCTCTCTCTCTCTCCGTCAATTGGGTCTGCCCGAGAATTCAGAAATTCATAGACTGCTGACTGCTTTAGAACTGGGGCAGGAGCCTTCCGAGACATGTACTTTTTGAAGCGCGAGCTCAACATTTACATCTAAGGAACCTAAGCTTCGTTGCGACGAACTGAACCGTCTGAGTCTTAGCCTTGGTCTCCGCAAAACACTTCGCTTAGTTGAACCAGTGCAGGCGGGAGACACTCTGCATTCCCGTACTGCGCCGCTTCGATGACTGGCGTGCCGCCGTAGCTTGCCCTTGCCAGGGATTGTTAGAGGTGTGCAGAACCGTGTCCGAGCTCATTGCCTGAGAACTCCCGACCTGGATCACTGAATGTGTACGCATACATTGACTTATGGTACCCCGCATGAGCCCACGCTTTTTTGTGAAGTCTCTGACTTTCAGGTGCTCGGTCAAAAGGCAACTGTACGGTCACCACCCCCATCAAACACCCCCTTCTACAATCCACAACTCTTCGCTGTTTGTGTACCGCATTGTACAATCAGCCACATTTGACGTTCCTGTTCTGTCTAGCTTTCTCCAATGTTGGCGGAAAAAAATCAAGGCAGACTGCAGTCCAAAAGTACTACTGCTCTACTGCTCCAAAATGCCCCTCCAAACGAGCACTGTTCCGGCAAAATCCAAAGCAAAAGGCTTCAGGACCGATTTTGGCTGTTTGGGTTTCTTGGAGTTAGGAATGTTTGGATTGGATTCCCCATGAGAATCCACAATCCAACCATCCAGAAGTTCAACTGTCCAAAATCGGTTCTGGCATCTCTGAGAAAGTATTGGCGTCTTGGATTGTCTAGGAATTCTTGCGGTGGCTGGGCATGCTTCCCACGCGGCTCCGTTTGCCCAAAGGGGTCGGCGTTCTCGGTGGCGTCCACATCACAAAAAAAGTTTTGACTCTCACACTCGGAAAATGCCAGGCAGGGTCTGCAGACAGGACAGGAATCGTTGAATTAGAACTGGTACGGGCAACTGAGCACTGATGAAATATCAGTTGCATATGGCTGAGCTGCAAGTAAAAAATAGTTATCATATATATATATATATATATATATATATATTATAGTTTTGCAAGCTCAAGGGGGGTCCATGCTCCACGAAGTGATGCCCATTGTTGATGTCAAGGCCAGCTAATGAAAAACGTTTGAGTTGCCAGTAAAGCCGTCGCGTCGCTTGGTGTTCGTCAGTGCATTGCTGCGGACCCAGTCCGTGTTCATATCCTCATGCAGTCGCATGGAATTCCAAACGTCGATTGTCTCCATTCATATCTCAGGGGAGCACATGCAGAGACCTCTTCCAGTCGCGCGGCAAACTCTCTAGATAAGTGTACTCCTGGAGGTTGCGGCTCGAAATGACCAACACGGCATATTCATTTCGCTAGCACCACTCCAAGATCCTCATCGTGCACCCATGCAGACAAATATTCACATTCCATGGCTTAGTTCACGGTCTTGGCTTTGCCCATGGAAAGCATATCGCTTGTACTTAGTGTAATACTACATCTCATTGGAGAGAAGACAAGCTTTCATACACAAGTGCATTCGATTTTCCTGCAATACACGTAAGAGTACACACACACACACTCTCACACTCGGACACTCGGACACTCGGACACTCGCACACACTCGCACACTCACACACCCACACACCCACACACCCACACATCCACACACCCACACACCCACACACCCACACGCATGCACGCACGCATGCACGCACGGACGATCACGCACGGACGATCACGCACGGACGATCGCGCACGCACGCACACACAAACACATACACACATCCACCGGGAAGTGCAAAGTCACCCCTCCAGTGTGCTGCTTCTCGCGCACGGTGGACACATGCAGTTATAATGTCGCCAGTCATCAAGGCCATATCCCGGGAGTATTCCAGGCGGAGGAATCCTCTACACTATCTGCACAACATTAACTCAACAGGGCAGGGCTGAAAAACAGCTCCACACGGCCTTGTGTTGACGTCGAAGCCATGCGCCAGGAGAACCTTCAAGGCCTGGCTTTGTCCTGAGTACACCTCTCACTGGCCCACGTTATGCTAACACGACCGGTTCGCTGTGTTCGCTTGTCATGTGTGAGTGAAGGATGCTCACCGGGTGGATACTACGACGTACTGTTACTACGATCGATGCACTTGCGTGGCGGTCTGAGAGATGGATGCACTCGTGACATCTCGGGGAATGCCGACACTCCACATCCTGGATGGAGGCAAGGAACCTTCACGGGCGGCCACGTGGCCAAGCGACTCATGCTCCCGAGGCCAGTTCACGTCGGCCTTCAGTGATGTCAGATTGAGCGGAGGGTCATTCAGGCTCCACATTTCTAGTGCAAGCACAGGGTAAGAGGCTGTGAATGCGGAACACACATGAGCGTTGATCTGTATTCCTTCGGGAAATGAGGGAGGCTGATCGACATATTTGTTCCGATTCATGATTCATGACCATCACATCCTGTGCGCCCCACCCTTGCACGCTCCTTCGCGTTTCTTGCAAGCTGAAGCAATTCGCAACAGTGGGCTGGGGACCTGTACACCTGGAGGATTATCAAATGTTTATAGGGTGTCCATGCTGTGGACACGACCAATATGACGACGCTGACACGGACAAGGATTTTGAGACGTCTGATTTTTTGTTTCAAGTCTGCTGCATAACAACTTTCGCGGATGATGGCTTTCCATTCCTGGACACATTGCTTCAAGGAGCTTTAGATCAATGCTCCATGTAAGTTCAGCTAAGCCGAATCCTGATTCAACGCGCTTGCAACACTGCTGAGTTGGGGACACCCTCACCGATAAGCTGTTCCTCGGATCCAGAGTTGAGAGTTGTCTTCGAACCAGTTCCCAGGCATCCAAGCTGCATGAGCTTTTCTGCAAGTGTAGAAGCAACACAAGTGTCCGAAGCCACGAAGAGCCTCCCAAAGATTCCAACCAGGCAGCCATCGTCGCAAGATTACCCTCCTTTGCCGCGGCGTAGAGCTCCTTCCGAGCTTGGAGGTCATCGAAGAGTTAGGAAGGTCGAGGACGTCAGAGGTTGAGGAGAGCGCTTGGACTGCACCCAGCAGCAAAACAAGCCCAAACCTCTCCGAAGTCCTCCAAGCCATCCCCGCCCTTCCTACCTGGTTCTGCTTCCGAGCCAACTCGAAAGCTGGGTCCCCAACCTTACTGATGTGTGGAGTCGAGTCTAATAGTGTGAGATTGTCGGGGCGCCTTATGGCATTTTGGGGATCATGAACTGGGGCGAATACATTCTGTGTTTTGCCTCCTGCCTCGAGTCACTAGACCAAGCTCAACAGGCCGGCTTCGGGTATGCTTCCCCGATCGGGGCCACTCTGCCATTGCCTGAAACTGCCGTAGCGTCCGGAAAAATCAAGAAAGAGAGCTGGATCGGATCAGAATCACCAAGGGTGGCCTTTTCAGCTCATCTCCTGCGTACGAGCATCCGATGTGTTTTGCTGGTGGTGCTGGTCAAAACCACCGCCCTGTGGAAAGCCCTTCTTTAACGTTGCGAGCAGAAAAGAGCGTAGACACGTGTTCTGGGAATGGGCCAGACCAGGCTTTGCAGCAGCCGATGACGGCGAGCAATACAACGCTTACGACAACGACGAGGAGGATGATGTGACACTGCCGGTGGATTGTGCATGAGAGTGGAGCTGTCTCGAAGCCCGAGAGGCGGAACGATGTCTTGGTTGTATCGGGTATCACTTCAGCAGATTGGCATGAAGAGCCAGAGCATCGTCACTGGCGAAGCGCACAATCGAGCCGTCTGCCACCACCTTGGCCAGCTCATATGGGTAAAGCAAATTTGGCTGCAATACACACTGCACTACATCGCACAGCACGATGGCAAGGCTGTGCCCAATCAACCAGAACCGAAAGGAACTACCACACTGCGATGTGTATGTCTCAGCCAAGCCGATCTGGAGCGAGATGCGATGACAGCATCCGAAGCTTTTCCGAGGCGCAGCTTCCGCACCTTTCAGGGCTCAGTATACTTTTCAGGACATACCTGCCCCTCGGGCCTCGGTGGGCCAACAGCAATTGCAGCTTTCCGAAAATTCCACTTGGCACGATTCTCCGTCCGATGCGTCTTTAGCTGAGGGTTCGTGACGAATCTGGCAGTGAGGCAGGCTCAGCCCTCTGGTAAGAGTCGATGGCTTCACTTCACGGCTGCCATAGTCTAGAGCGAAAATGCTTCCGCCGGACTGGCTCGCGAGATCAATGGTGCAGCTTTCGTTTTTTGCTGGAGGCACACGCAGATTTTGGCTAGCAACCATGCGTCGGCGAAACTTCCATGCGGTAATCGGTACTTCAAAACTTCGCCTGCCTGCGAAGGGCCGACCATGGTCTCTTCAGCAATGACTACGCCGCGTCCAACTTCGCTCTGGAGGGTAAGAGCCTGAACTCGGTGCTAAGAATGGCACTGTCACCGCCCAGCCATAAGCCTACGCTTCGACAGCTTCGAGATGAGGAGTATTTGGAGCATGTGAGTGCCGAGGCTGAGGCTAAAAGTCTGGCGATGTCATGTCTCCTGGTCACCACTTTGCTGTCTGCCGCTGTTCGCTGCTTGTCGGAAAGCTTTACTCCTCAGACTTCTCAGCTTGTCCCTTGCGAGTCTAGCGGGTATGCGGCAGCGGGCAAGTGGCTACGGCTACGGAACTCGATCCGTGCTGCCTCGCATAAGCAGGGTACCGCACCAAGAAACTTCAAGGTACACCTTGCTGAAGTTGTGTCCTCCAGGCCCTCTGCCACAATTACCATTGACACACCAACCGTCACTCTCCCCGCATGCTGCCTGGGGGGTGGTGCCCTTCGCATCCACGACCTGGAATCCTTAACCGGCGGCGGCTAAAGGAAGGATGAATGCGTACTAAAGGCAGCAGCTTGTTTGGTTGCCAAAGTCGAGCTGTTTTGCCCAGGCTCGAAGCACATCGCCGCCAGAGCGGTGTGCGAGAACAACCCAGCCATCCGCATCCGTTCCCAAAGCCTCAGTTCTCGGAAACTCTGCACGTTCGCGGCTGTCACCTGAACATCTTACTCTGTGGAGCCTGAGACTGAGGCCATGTTGTACAGCCTGTCAAAGGGCATGACAATACCTTGCCGAGAGTCCAGATCGCGGCGAGCATCCGGCGAGAGGGTGCCATCATCATGAAGGAAGAAATAGTCCTGAGCTCAAACGAACACAGGGCCCCTTCACATGAGCCGTGCGCATCTCACACTTCACGTCTGGGTTGCATCCACAACAAAACGGCAGCATGCATACCAATGCATACACTTCTAACTCTTCTACACAGCCCATGCAACCATAGACGCGTTCAAGACCGGGACGGTTTGCGTGCAGTTAATGAGTCGATCCCTGAGCTGGCCCTCTTGCTTACCTCGCAGCAGACAGTTGCACCTTGAGTGACCGTAACCTCCAATTTCGGCCAAATGCTATGTTAAGCTCGCAAGAACGAATCCCAAACCCTTAATATCACATCCAATGGAGCCCTTCGCAGACGCGGACCTCTCAGTCCTCAGTCCTAGACCCCACGCACCAAAAGTTTCGAACATCCACCATACTCGAATACTGCTGGGCCGCATTGACAAGGTTTTGACAGGTGCAAAGCACCACTGGACTGCCTGCCTTGACCACCGCGCGGATGTCCTGTGACTTGGGGTCTGCGAGGCTTGGCAGCTCTGCAACCCTTCTTCCGTTAACGAGGTAGCTTCGGTAGGGGGTGTCGGCCCCCTGTTGGGAGCTGCTCCTGCCCAATGCAATACAGTAGCAGGGAATAGCAGACAAGACCGACGACTGCCAACTCCATAAGAGGATCTAAACACTTCAAAACGTGACGGCCTCTCTTTGAGCCCCAAACTCGGCGCGAAGTCCTTGACGTACCTTACGATGCCATCTTCCTTGCATGCAGCAAGATATCAAGTTTGCAAGTCGCGTCTGATGCGAGAAGACACAAAGCTGAAAGACATGGCCGACGCTTCGTGCAGCGAAAGTCTGCCGGGTGGCCAGGACTTTGGCTCGCAGGGTCGGCGATGCGCGAGCGAAGCTGATGAAGCTGTTGAAGTCTTCTAGGTTGCTCAGCCAACCTTTGGGCGGGGACGGCAAGAGGCAAGATTGAATTGCCCATAGTGTAGTCGGACTTGGAACGGGAGCTCTCAAGATGCTGGCAGAGCAATTGGCCCTTCGCCTATTTGTTCCTAAACCAACACAAGCACAAGATTCATTCATGATATTCCATGATTATGCTCACTAGTCCAATGGTTGCCATCACGACAGAGTGCGATGCTCGTCATCGTCATCTCCCGGAAACAGCGGGCCCATGTGGCTCGTCAGGAAGCAGACCTCCAAGTGAGGGAAAGAAAAACGTGTGGTACTAGCCCGGATACGAATCCGTACAGCTTTATGGCCTCGGCACTGCCCAGGTATTCTGTCCTGATTGAGCCATGTTGAACCGTAAGTCCCGCACAACCGATAGCCCTGAAGGCCGTGACTGAGCAATGAAGTCTTATCAAGGGGAAACGCCCTCAGTCCGCTTGGCCCGCGCGGGGCCTCGGCATCGAAGAGGAGCTGATCCACCTGAGTCGAATATGCTTCAAGACAGCAAGGCTCTTGACATCTCAGCATTTGTTAAATTGTTTGAAGATGCTATGCTACCGATGCTACCTTTCTTCTGCCTGGCTCTCTCCAGCTCTTGCTCGCGCAGGGTTGGTCGGATTTGGCTCTACCGGACCTTCTGCCGAGGCCGGCGGGTCCTGAGAGATGCGAAGCTACGACCACTGTTGGTAGCCTTCTGTCAAGGTGTCGCGAAGCAGATGACTGCAGCTCTTGCTGTGAACCGCAAACTTCAAGAATAGGTATCTTTAGAGAAACCTTTCAAGAGCCTTCGGCACAATAAGGTCTTGCCCGTCCAACTTCATCATGAAGCGGCTGAAGTGTTCTTCATCGATGGTCCCATTGCCGTGCATGAGCACCAATATGTTGTAGCTGTGGAACTTCTCATGCGTCTCTGGGTATGTCTCATCCGGAGTGACCCATGGGGGCACGAGCCATGTGTCTCTTACATACTTCCGTCCTCCGTCAAAGCGCGTCATGTGCCAAAGCATTGACCCGATCTCGTCTTTTTTCGGAAAAGGTTTCTGAAAAAGGGACTCCACAACTTTGCAATAGTCTCCATCGCCCATCTCGGCTGGGCAGTAGAAACGAACGTTGTACTGGCCCCATTCGATGACCGGCACCATGTAACCGCCAGGAAAGTAGGGACCAATTCCGCCAAACTCAAGGCTTGGAACTCCAGACTGAGCTGTGACCTCAGTCCCAGCTACTTTGGGCGCTGTTTTCTTCTCTGGAACGGCAGATTCAGTTTGCAGTGCCGTGCCATACCACGCTACACTGGTGCTGTACTTCTCTTCCTTGGGGTGTGGGTTCAGGATCAACTTCAGGGTTCCAGCGAACAAACACCAATACTCGCACAGGGACTACATGTGTGAAGATACACGGGTATACGTTGTACCACGAGATCACGCACGCTTGTACAGGCTTCTGTTCTTCCGTATGCCTCTCTATCCATCTCCGTAGATGCCGCGAAGAGATGCCAACAGTACAACAAGCGGCTGTTCCCATGCTGATGTCAGCTGCTCCGACCGAAGGCTCCCAGGTTGCGTAGGAGAAATCAATCCAAGCCATCGGACCCATCTGCTCGAACCTGAGTCCACACCGAGTGTAATTCCAGCACATCGATTTCGAAGTGCTGTGCTCGGAATCCCGATTGGCGTTTCATGTCATGTCTAGGTGGGGGAGCACGAAACCGTAATTTTATAGATATCATACCTACTGCCCAGGAGCATGTACACGCCGTTCAATGGACCCCTAGGTTCAGCTCCTCCTTTCAAGCCAGCGTTCTGCAAGAACTCCCTGATCTGTTCATTCGGCACTGTCAGCGCCTTGTCCCCCGCTGTCGGCACGTAGGCGGGAACAAACTTACCAGCAGCATAGAACAAGGGAGTGATGTCTACTTTGACCAAGCCAGTGGCAACGAAAACAGCAAAGAGTGGAACCGTTATAAGTTATAAGGCTGCAGCATCCAGCGATAGCCATTCTGGCAGGTTTTCGAACCTATTCTCGGCAAGTCCTGGTGCTAATGACAGCTCCTGATTGTGCTTGAGCCGGTTCTCCATCTGGAAAAGACGTAGACATCGACAGATTTGTCATGTTGGGTCCACATGTCTGTAGAAAGCGTAGCGATGCTCCATGTGTCACCCGCACGCGAACACACCAATTTTTATATAGGGTGTTGATGAAGTGACCGCCTGCCCTGACACTCACAGTGAATTCGGATATCAGCACTTCTACTCAGGACTGACTCGCGTGTAGAAATTCCGTAGGCCCAAACTCGAAACCACGTCATCGACAGCTCTAGGAATTCTGGAACTTGCAAGCCGACACCAGGCACAGTAGAAAGCCGTCGGGCTGGAACCAGGTGAGACATGCCAATGTTTGATGGATGCGAGAAATATCTCGTGGCCCTGTTACGAGGCTCGCCTGAACTCGCAACATGGCCAAGCCGCGTCTTCACTGTCAGTGGAGGCGGCACACGCAGCGAGGTAGGCCTGCAAAAGGCTTGGCAAAAGATGTATGTGTATGTGTGTGTATAGGACTGCTCAAGACTTGTTCGGCTGGGTTTCAGCGCTGGTATCGATTGAAAGATTGGACGGACAATGGCCGAGATGGGTTACAGAGTTGCCTTAACCTTTGTTATTCGGCTGAGCCGGACATCATCCTTCGTGCACGATGCACTGGCCATCTTGTACGCTGAGGGTACGCCTAGGCAAGACTGAACTCGTTGAGATGAAACGCAAGGGCCGCAAGCAACTGCCTTCGAACTAAGGCTGCAGTTGTGCATGCCGCCGTTCATTATGCGATTGAAGAACCTACTTGTAATCCGTGTAGTACCCTTCGACCAGAACACTTGGATCATAAGTCGGACCATGTCAGACATGTCATGACCCTGAAGTAATTGATGCATGCCAGACCCCTGAACACGATCGGCAACTGTGACCTTGACGAAGAGCCTCTTCTGGCCCAAGTCTTTCCTTGGAATACTGGACCATACACAGCGAGATTTGCCTAAAACACCTTGGGAAGTCTCCGGTTTCGATTCTTGCAAGGACAGTCATGCAGAACATGAGAACTTAATGCCGCGGGCCACAGACCTCTGAGGTGATGCCGCCCTCGTCTATCTGGGGTTTTGCAATCGATGATCTTCGAAATCAAACCCGCCAACCAGAAGCCAAACAACTACAGTGGGACGAGCGTGTTTTGCGGCTGCATGCACATGTTGCATTATGGCGAGGATCTCTCCAGAAGGAACTTCTGAAGTGAGCATAGTGAGCTCAAAGGCAGCATCAACGCCCGACGCACCGCAAATCTCAATTCGGGGGCGAGCGTCGGGCAGCAAACTCGGACTACAGTGGCCAGGTCTTGCGCTGCGTGGGCGACCACCTTGGCTGATCTCAAGGTGGGTGCGTGCTGTCCTCGGGGCATCCTACGTAGTCGGGCAACAGTCCATTCAAAGTCGATGATGCGCAGCCCGTCATCGGTTTGCAGCCTGGGCGACGGCTGGGTGAAGCAGCCTCCGCTGGATTCTACATTTCTACATACTTTGTTCGCGTCCCTTTCGTCAAGTCGGACTCCGAGTCCAAGGAGCAGGTTGAACATGTGGATGTCCGCGTGCCTGCGGTCACCGGCATGCCCCCCCCGTGTACCGTTCGCAAGGGATACGGCTTTTATTGGATCTTCTGGGGTTCTTGACTTTCAAGCTGCGGTAATGCTGCTTGCTTTCGTCTTCCAAACACGTCCTAACAAGGCTTACCTCTGACCATCGCAGTCGAGCGACACGGTCACCGCCCGCGCGCCAATCTTCGTGGCGGGTGTGAAGGCCTGGACACGGCATCTTCCGGTGCAGTTTGCGAAGATCACTCATGTTGCACTTCAGAAGCACGTGTCGTTTTCTCGATTTCCTGCATGCAAAAGGTTTGAGCTTAGTGGATGCACGGCTAGATTCGTCGCAGCAGCAACAGAGTAGAGGTGCCTGGTCGCTCATCGCCAAACTTATCGATGAGCTCCCTGTGCCCTGTGTGCCTGCGGTCGCAGCCAGGCTGCCAAGGCCTCCTCTGACAGCTCTGCCAAGTTCTCCTCTCAAGTCTTTTTGTTGTTCAGGACAATGTGCGATTTTGCAGGGACGTGTCTTGACCAACACGAAGCTGAAATGCAGCGGGACACGACACGCCAGGCTGCCATTTTGCGTAAACATGCGTCAAAGATCCCCCAAGTCATGTTCATGAGCGGTGCACCAAAATGCGGGGCGTTTGCCTGAGACAGTCTGAAAACGAAGGCAACCCTGCTAAAGCACCACTCCTCGCGGCATGTGGAAGGCCACCTGGTTCTAAGCCGTCTAATTCCAGGCTGAACCGCTTTCGTAGAGCAAGGGATCGGGGATTTCCCCGGAATTCTAAAGCCTTCTGCAAAATCCACAGCCAAGAAACACGTGGGAGGCATCGGGAACCGATTCCAGGAAGCGCCAACGCTTTTTTAGCCGTGCTCGAAAAGGATCCTGGGAGGGCTGATGATCAATTGACAGCACATTGCGAAGAGAGTCTGTTTCAGCATTTAAGCAAAGCTCACCCTACGCAAGCTACGCACCAAATCCGACTGACAGTCAAGCAGCACCCCGGGGCCAGTGTTCGGTTGAGTCACATACCAAGTGGTCGGCCAGCTGTGCACGTCAGCGATCCTGTCTCGAGAGATTCACTCATAACTTCCTGATCTCTTGCCCAGGCTGCGAAACTCTCATCGATTCTTCTCTCGATAGATAGCAGTAGATAACATGCATAACATGCAGCATGCTCTCTCCGTGGGTGCGCGGGGAGACTAGGAAGAGTCTGCCGATCAGCCGGAACACAATCGCCCCAGCTCTTCCAGCACGGCATCCGATAACTCCTCAGTCTCAGCAGTGAACAGACGAAGTTTTACGAAAAGCTACAAAACGGTACGCAAAGCCCCCTCCAGTTGCATCCCAGTCGCAGGTCCTGTTCCCTCCCAAACCTTTCATGCGGCCACGGTTAAGGCTTCAAACGGCTTCCTTTTGCGGGATTGGATCGGATCTGAAGTGGTTCGAGAGATACGCCCGACTGCGGTCACGAGTGGAAGCATGGAAATCCACAAACAAAGACGACACCGTACCTTGCACAAGTGAGCTTGCTCGCCTCAGCGAACCAATCGCCACCGGCTGCAAGCCTTCTGGGTGCAGCACCGTGCGCAGAAAAAAGCCTTAGTCGAGGCTTGGGGCGCCTTTGAATTCTGAACACCGGCACAGTGACAGAACCTGCAAACGTGTGAGGAGGGCCGGTGTATGCTCGCGAGTTCAAAAGTATCAACACTGGATCACCTACGGTTCGATTTGATGTTCAGGAAATTCCATCGCCGGCCGGGTGGTTCACGGACTACGGAGGTCAATTGCTTTCCTTGTGTTGTGACAACACCCGTCAGTTTCAGTGAGCGCAGCATCGGCTATAGAGATCAATCAGGGGATGCCCTCGACATTTTGAAGCGGGTAGGTTTGCCACACACCCAACTTCTATCGAGGAGATTGGTGGATTGTGCGCAAGTCGTGAGGTATATGGAAAGCCAAAAGATCCGATGTTCAATTGCAGGCCAGCACTGGGCCAGCTGCACTGAAAGTATGCAAAGTAGATGCAGTGAATAATTACCTGCAACAACATGCCGCAACTTTCATCATCTCGCCCCAAAGACTTGAGCAATTCACCCTTTCCAGGATGAGTTAAATGCACATGCCACCAGCTCTCTCTCTCTCTCTCTCCCTCCCTCTCTCTCTCTCTCTCGCTCTCTCTCTCTCTCTCTCTTCTTCTTCCGCCGGGCATGAGGGGCTGTTAAGACCCCTCGGCCACTAGGGCCCCCCCATACTTTGTGGGGACTTTGGAGGAGTGTGAAATTAATTTCGTAGTTGTCCCCCTAGGTGGATCTTTTTTTTCTCTCTTTCTCTCTCTCTCTCTCGCTCTCACAGACATACCTACGCTCAGGCCTCGGACCGTCCGAAGCCCCCAAGCCTTGTCCGTGTTCATGCTAACCGCAGTTTCGCAACTCTGCAGCTGTGCCGGTTCGCTCTACCTTGGCTCTGGCTTCAAGCTTTTGGGCCTCAACGGAGTTCTGGACAAGGCAAAGCTGAGGCTAAGCTTTTGGCATGTCTGTTATCGATGGCCGATGCTGCCCAGTTTAGAACACTGACACAGGCTTAGACTGTGTGGCACTGTATGGGGCCAACGCGCTCATTTGACAACTTGTTGCCTGTAGTCCAAGGGGCTGAAAGAGGATCTTCCATGGCTTCCTGTGTTTGACGAAACGGTCAAAAATTCACCGATCCAACCTTTGGCTGCGAGCAAAGTAGGTCTCGCCATAACGAGACGAGCAGCTGACTTGTGATTGGCGTCCGAGCTTTTTGCTACAGCCTACACATTCAACTAACAGACGGAGTGTCAATGGTTGGAAGTGAGTCTCTTCTGGATTGAGGTCGCCACAGCCGCGCTTCTCTCAGCACCCGAGGTCATGGAAATTACAACTTCGTCAAAGCCGAACTGCTGAGCCCACGAAACCTGACCGACCAAACATGG